TCAAAGTGCCCTCCACCCAGCTCCCTGCACATCCCTAGGAAAGGAGCAAATAAAGTCTCAAATCTAATCCTGAGCTGTTCTGCTGTGTTCTGAGCCCAGGGCCCGTACCTGGCCTGCCAGAGCCCTGCCAGGGCGGCCAGAAGAATCTCAAGTGGGCCAAGCAGATGTGGGTCCCTGGACCTTTACTCCTCATCATCTGCGAATGAGAAGACTAAACCCAGGGGAGCTGGTGCCAACTTAAAGTCACTCTTCTCCACTAAATATAATATTTTGATCCTTACAAAATCAGAATAAATATTATAAATATATTTAAGAGTATAATAAATATCCTTATAAAACTGAAGAAAAAAAGGAAGCAGCCTCACTCTCAGCTCAAAAAATAGTCTAGCTGGATATTGGCTGAAAACTATTTTTGCAGGAGTTCACTAACTTCTCGGCCCACAGACAAGTTAAGATCCTGTTCATTTTTAACCAGAGACGATGTCATTACATTATACAATTTTTAAATTTTAGAAACTAATCTGCAAAGGGATATCATAATCTTCTGTAAGTATAAAGATTGTGTCACCATTTCACTTCAGAGCCATGTCCCTGGGTTGTTCCAGAAGGAGGATCTCCTGGAATCCTAACAGGAAACAAGCGGACGGTCCCAGACCTGGGCCGGCGTGAACTGGCTACCTCCTACATGGCTCTGGCAGCCATGGGGATTTCCCCAGGGCGGACCCAGCACCAGCTGGGAGGGCTGGGCCCTGGACTGGGACTTTCAGAATCTATGGAAAGATGTGGTAGCCCCTTTGTAGCTCTCATCTGAAACGACCCCAGCGCTTAGCGGGTCTAGCCTCAGCTCTGCCACTACCAGTTCTGTGACACTGGGCAATAGAATTAAAGTCTCTCAATTACTTTACTCATCTGAGTAAGGAGGAGGACAACACCTACTGCCCAGGCACTGGGAGGCTCAGTGACGACGTGAAGTAAAAGCCCCGGAAGCTGGCCCACTCGGCCCCCTGAGATTCTTCTGGTCACCCTGACAGGGGGTCCAGCGGCCCCAACACAAGCCCTAGAAAACCACAAGCCTTGGGCTCAGAAGTGGGGGCCCAGCCCCAGGCTG